TTACAGCACACAGAATTCTTCTTCGAAGCAGCAAGGAGGAAGAAATCTCTCACTTTCCCTCCACTCTTACAATCTCTCGAAGAATTCCTCACAATTTTTACACACTATTGAAACCTTTCTAACCTCCAGGAACTCTCTCTAGCACTTCTTCCCTCTTCAATTTTCGGCCAAAATATTCTTTTAAAGTTGTGGATGAGCTTTCCAAAAAGTTGCCTAAGCATCCCTTCAAAATTTGGCCTTATCCAAAAGCCTGATTGGGCATAACCGCTGAGCTCGCCGTCGGCGGCCTCGAGGGCGCTGTCGGCGGACCTTCTTAATGAATTAGTTCTGGAGTCTCGGGAAAATCTCGCCATCGGCGGGGTCGATGGCGTCGTCGATGGCCTAGTTCAATTCTGCACATTTTGGTCCTTCTCGCTCCAAATTCGCTCTTTTTTGTATCTTTCACACTCCAGACTTCTTTAGGTAATTCACAGTTTAATGGAATAGATGACCGCCTGTTGATCAAATAAACTGCAGTACTAACCGCTTCTACCCAGAAAGTAGGTGGTAGTCCGGCGTGCAATCTCATGCTTCTAGCTCGCTCATTAATGGTCCTGTTCATGCGCTCTGCAACACCATTTTGCTGTGGTGTTCCTGGAGTGGTCTTCTCCATTCTGATTCCCTGAGCTGCACAGTACTCCTTGAACCCACCATCAATGTACTCACCTTCATTATCAGACCTCAGACATTTCAGCTTTAAGCATGTCTCTGTCTCAACCATGGTCTTCCAAGTCTTGAATATACTGAATATATCAGATTTATACTTCAAAAAAATAAACTCATACCTTTATGCTATGATCATCAATAAATGAGATGTGGTAATGAGAGCCTCCAAGAGATGCTACTGGAGAAGTTCCCCACACATCTGTGTGTACTAGATCCAGCTTTCTTACCTTTGACATCCTGCCACCATTCAAGAAACTGACCTTTCTCTGCTTCCCCATAATGCAACTCTCATAGATGCCATGATCAACTGCTTCAGTTCTGGTAGCTTCCCTCTGGACTGAAGTTCCTGCATACCTCTTTGACTCATGTGGCCAAGTCTGTAATGTCACATCTCTGTTGTGCTCTCTACAACAATAATATCAACACTATTAATTAAACCAGTAGTCATATATAACGTATATGTTTTCTTACCCCGAGCCAGTACCAATGCTCTTTTATTAATCTTTTAGGTGCTATCTGAGAAAACTACTGAATGTCCACGTTCATCAAGCTGTCAATAGAAATAAGGTTCTTCTTCAGTTCAGGAATGTGTCTGACCTTTTTCAAAGTCCACTTGTTCTTGTATGAAAGTGCAATGTCAATATCTCCCATTCCTACTACGTTCAGAGCTTCTCCATCTGTCAGATATACTTTTCCAAAGTCACCTCCAACATAGTCCCACATCAATTTCCGATGAAAAGTTGTATAGAAAGAAGCCCCTGAATCCAGTATCCAGTCATCAATAGAACTATGAATTATCAGCAGTAATGCATCTTGTGCATCATGTGATTGCATCATGTGATTCTTCAGTTACCACATTTGCACTGTCATTCTCCGTCTTCTTAGGAATCCTGCGGTTCCTCTTTATGTGGCCAGTTTTACCACAATTCCAGCAAGTTACTTGTTTACCAGGTCTTGATTTGCTCCTGCTTTTATTCTTTGATTTTGATCTTTTGATTTTCCCTTGTTTGAGTTCTTGTTTTGTGATCTCCCTCTGGAATCAACATTGAATGCTGAACTCAAACCTGAGATCTCGCCAGAATCTTTCTTGCGCACCTCCTCAACTAAAATCAAATCACGAATATCTTCATATTTCAATTTTGATTTATCTGCAGAATTATTAATTGTCATTCTCATAGCTTCCTAGCTATTTGACAATGAAGCCAACAAAACCAGTGCACGTATCTCATCATCAAATTCAATTTTCACAGACGATAATTGATTTGTGATAATACTGAAATCATTCAGGTGTTGTATAACAAACGTACCTTCCGTCATTTTCAAATTGAATAACTTCTTCATCAGATATATCTTATTATTCGTCAATGACTTTTCATACATACCTGACAGAGCTGCCATAAGATCTGTAGTCGTCCTCTCCTTGACGAAGTTATGTGCAATGAACCTTGATAGGGTCAATCGAATAACCCCAAAAACCCGCCAATCTAACAAATTTCATTCAGCTTCATCCATTCTTTCAGGTATTTTCCTCAATAACAGAAAATTGAGTTTCTTCCCAAAGAGGTAATCCTCTATATGTATCCTCCAGTAACCAAAATTTGTGTCATCAAACTTCTCAATCCCTGAAACCTTCACTTCATCTTCAACAATTGACTCTGATACCAGTTGTTGTGGTATATTTAAATAGAATGATCGACGATGAAGTGAAAAATAGAACGACAAAATTCACACCAGAAAACAACACAAAAACACACACAAATTTATGTGGTTCGACAAATTGGCTACATCCACGGAGTTGCAGAGGATTTTACTAATTATGAAATTTACACCAGTGGATCGTCTCTAATTACAAGAGCGAACTCTCTCTCTCTCTCACTTCTTCACTCTTCTCTCTAAACCAAGATACACTAAAGAAGAAGAAAAGCATACAAGAGAAAAACCTATTTCTCCTCTGCTGCAAGCCAACAAGAAGAAATCAAGAAGAGCACATTCTACTTCTTCCTTCTGCCAAGCACAAGAAGAATCTTTCACCAACTGAAGGAGGCGTGGGCGAAGACGAAGAGGATTTCCTGTTTTGCGAGAGACGGATTGTCGGGAGGGAAGCCTTCTGGTTTCACGAGAGATGGAGACATAGCTTCTGTTTCGCGAACGAGAGAGGTGGAGACGGGAGGAGAGTTTATGTTTCTCGAATTGAAGAAGGCGGGACGTGTTTCGCAAATCGAAAGCGGGAGTCGGGCGTAGGTAAGTTATTATTTTTTATTTTTTTATTGTTTTTATTAGTAACTGTCTCCACATAACATCTTTGTACATCAAAAATATGTTCGCGTGAATCTCAAAGAAATCCAATGGGTCTTATAGCTTATAAACACCGGATGATGGTGCATCCAGATAGTAAAAAAACGGAAACATCAAGCGTCATTTCCCTCGGTCGGAACTATGAGCCGGCTGAACAGAAGCATGGCCGAATGAAAAAATAGAAGGAGCCCAATTTGAAAGACAGTCGTTTATAACTGACTCCCTCAGCCGATTTTGAAACTCCTCATAAAATGGCTAAATGGCCCCAGGAACACCTTTCTGCCCTCTTAGAAGGCTCATTGTCCAATAAGAACAGCCAATTAGATTACGGTAGTACATCCTCTGCTTGACGACCCAATTTATCATAACACCGACAGAGCCTCTTCTCATAATTCATATATATATATATATATATATATATATATATATATATATATAAAGAAGCGAGACCATGTGTGTACATCAAAAATATGTTCGCATGTTTCTTGAGAAAATCCAATGATGTCGCTTATAAAAACCATAGGATAGTGCATCGAGATAGTCAAAAGGTAGAAGCCTCAAGCGTTGTTTCCTTTGGTCGAAAATATAAGTCGACCGACCAAAAGCACAACCAAATGAAAAAATAGAAGAAGCCCAATCTGAGGGACAATCATTCAAGATGAGCTCTCACAATTGGTTCTAGAACTCCTCATTCAATGACCAAAGAGCCCCAACGAAACGCCTTTCTGACACTTTGAGAAAGTTCCTTATCCAATGAGAGCTACCAATCAGATTATGGTGGTACACCCTCTGCCTAACGACCCAATTTATCCCAACGACAGAAGGGCCTCCTCTCAGAATTCTCTCTTGAGAAGGCCGATCAATAACCTTTTAGATGATCGAATTTCTACGGACCGATCAAAGGCTTCCTTTCGACCAGGGGATAAGGTTATCAATTCATTGGATGCCCCTCTTCAAACATTTATGAATACGAAACGATGATAACATCAGTTATGAATACATAAGGGTGTCAGAGTTGGTTGCAAATATGAAAATGTGTCATAATATCTTATAACGCCCCTATTAAAATAGGGACAAATATGTAAATTTATATTAGAACCTCAAAATCTATAAATATGGTTCATTTCTAAAATAAAGGACTACTGAATTAACTCTATCAAAACTATTTTGTTATTGTGCACTCTCTTTCTTTATGTTTCTCTCATCCATTCTATGCTCTAAAACTTAGGTTTGACACACTGGACAATTATGAATTCAATATTCTAAAAGGTGTGATAAGCATGAATCATGACATCAAATAAAATATGAGCACTTCACAAAAAAAATCTTCTAGAAGACACATCAAATAGGAAGTGCACAAGGAAATTTGTGCAATAGTAAATTAAAGAACTTAGAGACCAAATAATGGGTCAGATTGCGGAATTGACGAATAGGATACTCGAGGGATGAGCGCAAGCTCCACAGGAAACAGAACCCTCGAGAAAACGAACCGAGACCCTAAGGTTGTTAAGCGGCTCAGGGGTAGAAAGAATGGGGGACTTCTAATACCAAGATATTGTTGGGTCTAAACTATTGATCAAACAACATTTTGGGTGTTTGGAGGTCCACCTCTAGCTAGGGAATGCAGTATCCCAAAATATCTCTCCCTACAAGAAAAACCTCAATTATCATCGAACTTTTTCGAAGCTAATCGGGCATCTTACACGTTAGCGTCAAAATAATTTTGATATTAAAATCAACATCATGATATACCAAAATAATGTGTTATTTTAAGTATACATTTTATGCTTATTTTTTGTGATAATTTTAGGCATTTGAAGTAAAAGTAGCAAAAAGAACAAAATTTGGAGCCAAAATAGCGAATTTTGTGATTATGGCGCCTGAAGCCCCACTTTACAGAGAGTTGGCGCCTGAAGCGCCATTTTACAGAGAGCCGGCACTTGAAGTGCCAGACTCGACACCTGAAGAGCCAGAACCCAAAACAACGCGGATTTGAGCAACTTGGCGCTTGAAGCGCCAGAATCAGCGCTTGAGTCGTAAGAAACAAGTTTTGATGAATTAAGGCGGTTCAGTACAAATTTTGCACAAATTTTGAAGGCTACAAAATGTTTCAAATGCCCCATGGAGCGATTCAATGCTTCTAGACAATTTGGAAGGCTCTTTAGTGAAGGGATATTTTTGTTGAATCAATAGACATGTCTTTTGGAATTCAAAAAGTTTGACTTTGGATAGAATTTTGGAGGAATTTTGAATTTTTTTTAGGGAGGCAGCCTCTAATATAAAAGAGATGTTTTTGAAGAACAAGAGAGGAAGAGGTTGAATGAAGGGTGGTGGTGTGTGGCGTGTAAGGGGTGGCGAGAGAGAGAGAGAGAGATAGAGTTTAGTGGAGAGATAGAAAGTTAAGGACTTGGAAATTTTATTCAAGGGTTGTAAGAGGAGAGGGAAAGTGACAGAATTCTTCATCATTACAATTCCAAGAGACAATTGAGAGTGCTTGTAAAGTGGCAAAATACTTAAAGAAAACTTCTAGGGATTTGCTTAAGAAGGATTGTGAGATAAGTTGTGTCTTTTATTTTTTTTATTTTGTATATATGAAATCTGTGTTTTATCGTTTTCTTCTCATAAATTCTGAGTAGTCTTCTTTATTCGTCTCACTGCTTTGAGATATGGTTTTGTGAAGAATTGATTTTGTTTTATACGATTTTAAATATCAATAATTTGTAATGATCTGAACCCCGATCTTCATTTCCTTTTCGAGCTGACCAATTGAAATGTTAAAATGTGTTGAGAAACATATGTTCCAAAAAGACTATGATTTCTACAACATGGTGAGAGTCACATTCAATTTCATGGGTGAGGATGCTATTCATGTGGTTGAGTGCTAATACATAGAAAAATATACTTTGTTGGATGCAAAATTGGAGATTTTAATGTGACAAATTAAAATCCTCAATTTGGTACTGTTGATTGAAAACTAATGTGAGATTATTAGCCCTCAACCGGTATCCTCTTAACCTAACCACAAAATTAGGGACTAAACTCTAGATTATTCAATGTTTTTTTATGCACTTGAAAAATGGTAAAGAATATGATTGCTTCTATTTGACACAATATAATTATATATATATTTTTAAATGATTTTAATTTCTTCACAATCCATATACTCATTGTAAAGGGGAATGATGCTTTCTTAAATTTGAACTCTTCATCACAGAAACTTTGTTTAGTTTTTAAAATTTTACTTTTAAAGTTTAGCAATTAGTTTAGTAGTTTTGTAGTTTGAATTGTGTTTTAAATTATAATCATAAGAATTTATTCATAAGTATTTTCAACTTCCCCATGGGATCAATATCTAGACTTCATTAGAGCCCTTTATTACTTTAGCAATACACATATTTGCATTATTATTACGAGTTTTTCAGTTTAAAGATTTTAAAAGATAAAATTATTTTACTAAAACTATTTTTATTTGGATTTGAAGTGTATATTTATTATTAGTACTGTCGTGTGTGTGTTTTATAATAATGAAAAATATTTACAAAAAAACACACAACAAATTTGCGCATCACATTACTAATTGATTTTGCGTCAGATTTTTGCTTACATCTCAAAATTTTGTCGCTATAATTGAAAAAACAAGCAACTCTAGATTAACTACGTATTAGCGTCGCCACTAGCAAACACTAATTAGAGTCGACCAATGGCGACACTAATTAGCATCACCTAGTTTCAATGCTAAAGTGTCAGATAAGCGACAACGAACATCAATCAAATTATTATTGTGGTTGCGTCAGAATAGTCAGACACTAATCTGACGTAAACCTGTAATATATATATATATATATATATACATATATAGCAGAACAAACAGATTTCCACATACCTGCACATGAAAAACACAAGTATCATAGGACATTTATTGTTAGAACTGATAAAAGATATCTCCTACATATCTAAATAATGATACCAAATTAAATTAAAGAACAAATCAAAGTGTTCAAAGTTCACAACTACAGAAATTGAATGTTTGATTAGAAAGAAATAAAATATATATATAATCAACTCCTATATCAGGGGAACATCAACAAATACATAATAAAAATTCTAATCTTGCTTCTCATCTTCATCATACTGCTCCTCCTCATCCTCCTCACCAACACTCATATCCCACTTGCTCTGGCAATCAAACTCTTCGTCAGGCGTGCTAGACTATCTGCAACCATATGTTGGCCTTCACACTTATCAAAGCTCTTCATTCAACATCAAGACCCACTTGACAAGCTCCTCATGCTGAGTCTATAACAAGCTAGGGCCACCCACAACTATGAAAGCGCTCGACCTCAATTGCTATCCACTTTGCGCCTAGGTTGTACACTCTCCCTTTCTTCTTCCTCGTCGCATGCATCCACACCTCAAAATTGACATGTATACATGATCAGATAAATATAAGAGTCGCATAATTACCTTAATATATAAGCTTCTAAATTTTTAGATAATTTTATCAGTCTCTGGTAGTGCTCTTTGTAGGTGATCAAACCTCTAATGTGGAGTGTGGCCCCTCTAACACACTTCGTCATCTGATTTTTCTGGTTTGTATTTCTCTTCTTTTTGTATTTTGTAGAGGCCTATGATCTATTTAACTCAGCCCAGGCTTCCTCTCAAACCCATGAGGGCCTCTGTCCCTTCTTCCAAACTATAGTGAACATATCCCCGAGCTTGTGTCTGTCGTGAATCTCAAAAATCTATTGGATATGTTAGTCATGTTCCAACAACTAGTAGAACGACCTCTAAAATTAGAATTCATGTAAGTTTTATTAGTAAGAAAATTATAAAATAGCAATCTATTTCAAATTAAAATATCATACCTCAAACCCCCTAAAAAAATATCTTAATTTGCAATCAGGTTCTACTTCCATGAGCGAGATGGCTGATAATATAAGCTCCAGATGATCTCCATGATCTACGTCACGAGTGTTTTGAAAGGGTAGAACCTACAATTGAAATATTATTTACATTATAAAATAAATGAATATTGAAATTACATTACTATAAATTAAAAAGGAAAGTTGACTTGCAATTCACCCTTATGCACAATATAGATTGTGTCAGCGGAGTCGACCATCTCAGGTGCAACAGTAAAGGTTCCTTGCTCATCAGATGAAGAAACTAGGCTAAAATATGGTCCAGGTGAGGAATGTGCTGCCCCGAGGGAGCTGGTGCAGGAGGAGAAGCAACATAAGGAGTAACAGAGAGGTTGCATGAGTGTCATACCGCTCATCAATATGTGTTCGCAAAGTCCTATGATTGTGGGGTCTCTCCAGAGGCTGAGCACTTGCCATCTGTAATAGAAAAAAAATAGTTGATATATTAAGTAGGATTTGTATATAGTATATGTTATAAAAGTAAAAATAGAAAATAGAAGAATGTCAACATGAAATGAGTAAGCATAAAATCAAGAAAAGTAAGCATGACAACTACAATGTAAGAATTTATAGTTAAATCAAGAAGGTGCAGAATCTAATCTTCTAAGTACACATATAATTTTTTAATGTGTTTCATTCGATGTGTTAGATGTTGAAGAACATAAAATTTCTTCATGAATCTCATCATCATCTTCATCCACATCTTAAAAAACTTCTTCATGAATCCCTCTATTATCCTCTAGGGGTAACTCCTCATTGATTGAGCTTAGCTGGAAACAAAAATCTATCATGACTGACACTTGATGAATAGGTTCCATAATATTTTTCTTCTCAGTAGTTTTTTTGTGGTTTATCCTTCTCAAGTTTATCTCAACCAGGATATTGATGATAATAAAATTGACTAACCTGACGTGTATAAATAAATGGACCATACTTTGCATAACTTTTCATTTTAACTGTTGTAATATCATATAGGTCAAGTGTCCATGTTCCTCGATTAGAGACATGACCGAACCACTCATAGCTGAACATGTAAACATTGAATTCAACACAAGTCAAATATTGCAACTGAACTACATCATTTAGTATGCCATAATAGTTGATCTCATTATTTGTGTGTGTATTTTCTCCAACATAAACACCATAATTATAAGTCTGCTTTCCTTCACACCAAGAGATCATGTGAGATTTGTAACAATTTTTCATGTCTTGACACTACGATTAGGCCTCCAAATAAAATCAAATAAGCCCTGATCTACGATTCTATTGCTTCTATCATTAACCTAGATGTTCCAAAGCATAATTAGTTTTACATTGACAATTACAATTACACAACGTACCATGAATTGAAAAGTTACTTTAATATATGTGCAATTTGAACCATTTTGAAAATTCTTCACCGAACTTCTTGCTTACAAGAGAGTCATTCTCTATGTTCAAGCTCGTGGTAAATAACCTGGTGACATCATTATTATTTGTATGTCTGAGTTAAATGGTAGAGCGTTCCTAATAATAACTGAGAAAATTTTTCATTAAATTTAAAATAACTATAGGAATGATTACTCTTCATTGTAGTTCAGTCGAACATAAAATTTAGCTCCTTGAATCTCTCCATCGTTGAGATAATGCATACCATGCAAACCTAATGATTCACCTGATATCTAAAATATGGATAATTCTGTTTGCAAATGCATCTCACCAACAGTTTCATGCATATGTTGCCCTTGATCGAAGTAACAAGAGCAAATATTGATTGTCTATTGTAAGTTATGGCACATATGTCGATCCACCCTGATGTGCATTATTCTTAACAATCTTTTCTATTTATTTAGAAATCTGCATGGTCGAGTAATTTTATAAAAAATAAGATAGTAGTTTACTCTAAAATATAAAACATACCTCTCAAAGGATATATCCATTGGTATTGCACTGGACCCCCTAATCTTGCCTCATAAAATAGATGTATGGATAGATGTTCCATTTAGTAAAAAAAAAATTGGAAGGAAATATAATTCCAAGCTTGCATAGTAATAACAGAGTAATCACATCTTGGCTTCTCAAATATTCAACATTCGAAGTGCATGTGCACAACTCCTTGAAGAATGTACTGATTTTGATCAATTGATCAAGTACCGGGTTTGACAAGAAATTGAATGCAACAGTAAGATGCACTACAAGAAAATATGACAATAGTGATTCTT